GTGCTCATTCTTATTGTATGAGTAGATTTTCACTATGTGTGCATACTTGTGATATAAATGAGACTAAGAGAAGATGTTTGATTTATAATTAGAAAAATCTATAATTTAAGAAATCAAATAGACTCTTATGTTGATAGAATTTTACGAGAGAATTAATTTTTTTTTTTGTGGGTACAATACGAGAGAATTAATTGAACGTATATAAACATCAATATTAGAATTAAAACCTTAAGAACCGGGAAAGTTAATTGGAAAACATCAACATTCATTACTTACTCGAAAGCAAACGAGAAGTGTTCATATGAATAACCACACGTGTGTTGATCCCTAACATGCAGGGATCATACAACACTGTCGGTCCATTTATTTGCAACATTAAACTAAAAAACACATGAAAGACATAAAATAACACTACTTATTACAACTGAACATATAGAAAACACACACTTGTACGTGTGTGGCTCCGTATGTACGAATCCAGCTGTGGTACGATGTAGTGTTTGAATCAGCTCTTCTTCAAACAACGACGACCTTCAATTTGAGGCCAGCAACACAGTCCAAAGGCCCAGCAGAGATAAAGTAATAAGTGCCCGTTTGAGTGAAAGTGTGGCGGTAGTAGCCACTTGCATCGTTGTAAATTGCGTGAGAAGCATCACACGCCAAGAACCCAGCCGCATCCACGAGGGCCACCGTTCGAGGACTTAGGAAATGAAAAACTACATCACCATATAAAATTAATTGTCACATTACCATCATCAATTCAATATCTATAATGTATGTGTAATATATATCAAATTAAACACAAACGTGAAACACATTTTTTCTTATATATTTTTGTAACAATGCATCAGACTTACTGAAGACGTCGCCAACGTGAACGGTCTTGGTGGAAATCCATGCCAAGACGTTAACACCCAAGGCCCAACCGTCGCTATCACACACCTCATACTCTGTGGCCAAAGTACCAGGCAGGGTAAGGCCCAAAATCAGAACCGCGCACACGAGTTTAGCAATAGAGCTTGCCATTTTGTTTACGTGCAAAAAAAAGTAATATTACGCTAAAGTATTAAGAAAGTTTGAGGAGAAGTGTAGTGATGAAAATGTTATGGGAAAAATGGGGGTGTTATATAGTGGTGTTGAAGCAGTTCAGTTTGTATATAAAATTATTTTGCCTCGACATAAGTTGACTTTCACCACACCTATCCACATGAACAAGTGACGATTAAAATTGCAAGTGTTGGAGAGCATACTCAACTTTAAATTGTTTTGGATAATTGCAAGTGTAGGAGAGCATACTCAACTTAGAAACCGCAAAAGAAAATAATCATTAAACGAAAAATGCTACAAGAGCTATTACGCACTCTTTGAAGGGTAGCTGCTTCCAGGCAAAATCAAACTTCATTGAACGAAAAATCAAGTGGACCACACTTCATGTGAGTGTTACATGCACCTCTATGTACATTTAATGATTATTTAATTACAGTAGGTACCACTAAATGTTAGTGTTATGTGCACCTCTATGTACAATATTATGTACCTATAGCATTACTCAGCGAATAATATATAATATAAACTGAAATTTTACGTGGAGGAGTTGTAGAAGTTGCGACATTTCTTTACTTTATCAGTAGAATTCGGGCAAAGCCGAACAAGGAGTTCAAACCAGATATCCCTTTCGCAGTTCATGGTTCGTGTGTGAATCTTGAAAATCCGAGTCCTACTTCCCAAGTCAGGCAGTCCAAACTCCGTCCAGGACGTAGAAGTGCCGGATCAAGGGTATCGGGTCTACATCGTTGAAAGAACGAAAAAAGAAAATAGAAAAGTCATTAATTTATTTAGGCTATGTTCAGCTAACTTATAGCTTTAATGCTATGTTTGGTAACTAAATAAGTTAGCTTATAACTTACTTGGTTATAACTTATAAGCTTCCTGTATTCAAATAAGTTCCATTTTCAAATAAGTTTCGTTTGGTAAGACGGGTTTTTATAAAAAGATCGAGTTTATCTGATAAGTTTCTTTGGTTAGTTTTTCAAATAAGCTTGTTGATATTTTTATTTCAGCTAGCTTATCAGCTAATTTTACCAAACAATTTAATCATATAAGCAACTTTTCAGATATAAATCATAAGCTATAAGTATGAGCTTGAAAATCACTAATAAGCTATAAGTTAGCTTATTAGTAAATAGCTAATAAACATAGCCTAAGTGAACTTCGAGCTTATAGTTGATAATTTATGACTT